GGGGGGGGGCAAAAAAGCCGATGGCCAGCGCTTCCTGGTGCTTTGTTCCCCCGGGCCAGCGCGGCGGCCGCCTGCCTGACACCGTCTGTCTCCTCCTGCAGGTGAACGGCACGATGGTGACCAACAGCTCCCATCTCGAAGTGGTGAAGCTCATCAAATGTGAGTCGACAGCGGGGGTGACGGGGGCCGGTTACCCCTAGGTCCCTGGTGTGAGGCCAACCCTGGGCGCTCGCAGGGGACAGGTCTGAGATGGCGCCGTGGGGAAAACATGGGGGGGGCCCTGAGGCTGAGTGTGGAGCAGAAACAGGTACTCTGAGCTCTCTTCTCCACCTAAAAGGCAGGGATCCGCCAGGAGAGGGGGCAGGATGGGGGTCAGAGGATGGGGGGAGCTGGCTCTGTGCATAAACACTGGCTTCCTCTCTTCTGAGTGGGAAACCCCAACAATCCGGTGTTTTGAAAGTGCCCGATACAACATGTGCTGTTCGGTGAACCGTGTTGGCCGACAACATGGGGACGAGGAGTCATTTGCAAGCTGCAAATAGAGCTGTCATGCCCAGCGGGCGCTGTCGGATCTCTGCGGCTTCCTGGGAGGGTTGTTGCGGGAGGAGCTGTTCTGGGGGACGTCACTTCCTGTCCCTTTCCTAAAGGGACTTCCAAGAACAGCTTAACCCTTCCCTTGCCGATTGGGGTTTGCAAGTCATTGTGCTTCCCACCCTGCGTTTGTGCGCGCGCTCTGTCTCTCTCTCGAGCTGTCTGCTTCAGGGGTTTAGCCTGCTGCCCGTCACCGTCGTGCAGTGATCTCCAACCTTTTTAAGCGCAAGGTCACTTTTTGAATTTAAGTCAGTCCAGGATCTATTTCAAACCCATACCCCTGCGCCACCCCTTTGCTGAGGCCCCACCCTCCTCACTCTGCGAAGATGGGATACAGGAGAAGGGGATAGAGAGACATCAGTGCCCCCCTGCCTCTGTCTCCCCCACCTTGCACAACGAGGAGGCTCCCAGGGTCAGCTCTGGTAGCCTCCCAGTCAAACCAGTCAGGATCACCTGTCAGAAGTTCCAAGATCTACCAGTAGATCCCGCTCGACTGGTTGGTGACCACTGCCGTAGTGTCTGGGCAAACAGCAGTAGTGAAGTCCCCAGTGGACTTCCTGGAGCGTCTGGCTCTTCTCCTGTGGAGAGGTTAATGCTGTGCCGAAGGTGGGGTTTTAGGTTGGTGTGTTTCAAGTTATCAAGGGCGTGATGGCGTCACCCTTGCTATGGAGAAGAGGAAGGTTCTTCCGCGTCTCCTACCAGCATCCTGGATTTGCCCGATCTCCCCGGACGTCCGTTCCACAGCAACGTCTCGTCCCCTGCGCGCACGTCGCCCCTGCCTCTCGTGCACGTCATCAGGCGTTTTGCGATCTGCACCGTCCTGCGCTGCTGTCGCCGGGGAGCATAGATTGAAATTCAGGCCTCGGACAGAGCTGGGGCATGACCCGTGTGTTGCTTTGACCATTAGGACCGAGGCTGGCAACGGGAAGCCCCGCAGAAGGATGGGCTCCTGGGCCTGATGTGTTCACGGTGCCCTCCGCCGTGGAGAAGGCAAGCAGCAGCATTCTGCACCAGCTGGAGCCCGGGGAGCAGCTTCCAGTGCAGCAGAGAACAGTACCGCAACGGGGCAGGATGGGTGCCTGGGAAGATGGGAGGAGATTCCTGGCAAGCTGGAGAAGGAGGACAATCCTGGTCCTTCCCCGACCAGGCCTGGGGAAGACTCAAACCAAGACTGTCTTTGCCGCCCCTTGCTGGTTGGGGCCTGTACGCCTTCAGTGCGTCGCGGTGCCATGCTGTCACGGGGCGAGCGCTCGCCGGCACGGCGCCTCCTGCTGGTCAGGCTAGGAATTGGCTCTTCTGCCTCGGAGCACCTTCTGCTGGCTGGGGCCTCGCCCTCAGTCGCCTGTCGTCTTCTGCGCTGGTTCAGGCTCCACAGCACTGCCCTGCAGCAGCGCCTCTGCACTCCAGGTTCCTCCCTGCCCAGGGAGCCTAATCCCCTAGACCGGGGAACACGACCGTGAGGCAGTCGGAGGTGTGCCGCGGAGAACAACAGAGTTCAAAATGGCCGCTTTTTTTTTTTTCCTCAATTACTTTCCCCGACTTTTTTCTCAAAAAATCCTTGGTGTTCCTCATAAAAAAAAATTGTTTGGTGTTCCTCAGTCTTAAAAAGTTTAAGAAACACTGCTCTAGACCCACCTTGCTCAGTGACCCTTGGCCAGTCGTCCTCCAGCCCTGCCTCAGGGCAAACTGCTGTCTGAAATAGCAGCTCCTCATTGGCAAGGGGGTGGACCTGCTGCTTTCTCCTGCCCTGGCTGCCTCCCTGCAGCCCTAATGCCCCTCAGGCCTTGCCTCAGGCCCTGCAGTCTGGGAGTGAGCTCAGGCCAGAGCTCTGCCTTTCGCCAGCCCTGCTCTGCCTCATGGAAGCCTCCATAGCTTCTCTGGCAGCCAGGTCCCTCCTGCTCCACGGTTGGAGCAAGAGGTTCCTCTCCCCCCCGCCCCCCCAGGAGTCTCTATTTATACTGCCCCAGATTGTCACAGCTGCTGGCCCCAGGCCTGGGTTTAACCCTTCTCTCTCCTGGAGCGGTCCGGCTACGCACACCTGTAACGAGCGCGCTGATGTACCAACCGTACGCTAACCCCTGGATCTCGCAAATGGGGCCTCGTGGATAGAGCACTGATCTGTGACCCAGGAGACCACTGCCACTGGCCAGCTGGGTAGCCTTGGGCAAGTCACTTTACCCCTCTGTGCCTCAGTTTCCATCAATGAAACGGGGATAACTGTAGTGATCGTCTCTCTACAGTGCTTTGAGGTGTATGGTTGAAAAGCACAAGATAAAAATGAGGGATTCGTACATGCTTTGGCCTATGCAGATTCTCTTGGGAACACTTTACCAACATCCCTGAGGCTGGTGGTGAACTGTACCTCTGCTCTGTGCATGGTTCAGTGGACAGGCTTCGGTGAATTGAATTAAATCTGAAATGCTGGATGTAGGAGGGAAAATCGCTCACCATTTTAATCTACGAGCTGGTCTTCACTGGCAACCTACACCCATAAATCTATGGCACGCCCACATCTCCAATACTGTGTACAGATGTGGTTGCCTCATTTCAAAAAAGATCTATTGGCATTGGAAAAGATTCCGAAAAGTGGAACAAAAATGATCAGGAGTTTGAAATGGGTCCCCATATGAAAAGAGATTAAAAAGACTGGGAATTTTCATCTTAGAGAAGAGGAGACTAAGGGGGGATAGGAGAGAGGTCTATAAAATCATGACAGGTGTGGAGAAAGTGAATAAGGAAAAGTTATTTACTTGTTCTTACATTATGGGAACTAGAGGTCGCCAAATGAAATGCATAGGTGGCAGGTTTAAAACAAACCAAAGGACGCATTTCTTCACACAATACACAGTCAACTTGTGGAACTCCTTGCCAGAGGATGTGGCGAAGACCAGGATTTTAACAGGGTTCAAAAAAGAGCTAGGTAAATGCATGGAGGATAGCTCTGTCAATGGCTATTAGCCAGGATGAGC